CTCTACATCAATCGCGGTGGTTGGAGAGCGTTGCAAGCGGGAGTCGTTGATTGCAGGGCCGTAAGGCTTAGCGCCTTAATCGCTCTATTTGTCGGGAGACGTGCGTTTCTCCTCCTGGGGTCAGGTCACCACAGTTGCGCGATCATTGAAGCTTAAGGTTAAGTTTGGGTTTAGACTTAGGTTAAGGCTTATGCTTACACATTGGCTTATGCCTAAGCTTAGTCCTAAGCTTGCTCCGAGCGAATGAACGGCGTCTCAGTTTAGGCTACGCATCCGTCGTCGGACAAGTAGAGCTGGCATGACCTATGTACACGGCTTGACCTAGGTACTGACCTCACAAATTCCCTCGCCGTATCCTTTATCGAAGACGTGTGTCGGTCCACTTATTCTTGAACATAGAATCAATTCAAACCTCCTACCTAACGGGAAAATGAAAAAAGTGGACCCGACACCTTCCTACTAGCTGGGATTGCTAATCCCGCGGCTTGCCTTTAAGGATGCGAACTCACCATTCCCTCATATTGGATTCGTTGCTTTAGGTAAAAAAAAGAACCCTCTGTTTTTATGCTCTGAACTGCCATATTACTGCTGAAAATCGTGACTGATACAATTGAAAGCAAGGGTCCCACTTTCCTCTTATGGAAAATGTCTTGTTTTGTTATCACTAGGCCAAATGAGGCCAGCTCTTAGCACTTTAATTTCAGCCGTCCTTCTCAAAGTACCTTGAAGCTCTGAAATTGGTGCTTTTCAATCAGTTTGTGACAGGAGTAATTGTTACAACTGTTTTCCACTATCCCATGAAATTTACAGGTAATCTAAAACTTTGAATGCAGTTATGGGCACAAAGAAGGGAGACCGTTTTTAGGTGTATCCTTCGATAAGAAGCTTCCGGGGGTGACTACGGTGCTTGCACAAATAGTGGTGTGCGTTTTCGTAGAAGAGATTGGATTCTATTATTCTCACAGGTGAGTGTAATAAGGTCAAGCGTTTGTAAATGGACGAGAAACACCATGATCATGGCCAACATTCAGATGTACCGGCGAATTCGTTACCTTAACATCCTGGGAGGAGAGACATGTGTTGGTATTGAGTTAGGTGTTCGCAAAGAAAGTATTTGAACCTACGAAATGAATCCGCCTTCGTCATTCAGGAGTTCATTCACAGGGTATCACGGAATGTGCTTTCATTAAAGCCCTTCCTGAGACTGAACTGAGAATTCGTAATCGCTGCCTTTGACAGGAAGTTTTTGCTTCAAAAGCTGAAACTTGACACGTGGTAGTGCTCAATGATAGCAGAGCGAAATCGATCAAGAAAACGCAAAACGGAACCCTCTTTTTTGTCCGCTGGTTTTCATTCATGAACAGGTAACAGCTCAGAAAGCGGACATATGAACAGTTTCACCGTTATGCGTTTGGCGTCTCCATGCCAAAACACGCTTCAATCGAGATGCTGCGATTGTGCCGCCGCTGGCAACTCGTCCAAATCCCCAACTAAACTAGTGGGCGGATCGCATTTGTATGTATGTGTTGGCAGAGCGCTTTTTGAAATGCTGCTCGGCAGTCAGAGCACCTCGTCGTAAAAGCGCCACAGCTCGCTTCCCCGGTAGCCAAGTAACTGCTTCATATGCTCTCACGATGCGCTACCTCATTATCGTAATCGCTTCCTATGACTGACACAGGCTCGGGTTTTAGAAAGTGGGATAGGGTTCATTAAAGAACGTCAAATGATTCTATTATTTTAATGGTAGATTCCGGAACAGTGAAAATGCAATACAGGTACCTGTCGCGTTCCACAGACCGATGGACCCTCCTCGCTCACACGAATTCCTCCATTTCATTCGTTCAGAGCTCCCGTGAAGGAATCTGAATGAGCTGGCGGTCGTTCTACAGTTCGTATGACGTTTCGAAGGCTCCAGTTGGTAACCGCTCTGGTCCAACGGTCACCACAAAATCACGTGTCCGCATCACCTGATGTTCGACCGTTCGAAACTCTGTATTCAGTGATGGCAACATGTCAAAAATCAGCCAAAATATTTTAAGTTTGAACACGAGCTTATCAGCCAAAATATTAAGTTTAACATGAGTTATGCCAAAAAACGTCTGCGGTGGTTTCTTTTTTTGACAGTACTGTACATGGCTTAGACCTCAAATATCGGGTTGAAATCTACTCAGGCTGATTGGGTCTTCCGTTTTTCCTGATCGGCTGAATGCATCGGATTTAACTTGCATCATGGTCTACCGCCCACTAAGTATATTGGTGCTAGTTTTTTTATTACCAATATTGGCCTACTACGTCCATTTCTTCGCTGAAGGACAATGTGCTTTACGTTGTTCAATCTCCGGCGAAGGCCACAAATTGCACTTCTATCAAGGATAGTAGCGAAATTTGAAGGCCATTCGAATAGTACAATGAACTGCGGTCACCAGCTCATAAGTATAGCAGTTTTTATCCTTAAAGGAAGCGATTACGATAAAGAGGGAGCGCATCGGGGAAGCATATGCACCACACGAATCAGTTACTTGGCTGCCAAGGAAGCGAGGTGTAGCGCTTTCACGACGAAAGGTGCGCTGGTTGCTGAGCAGGACTTCGAAAGCACTCCGCCCCAAAAGCGATCCGCCCACTAGTTTACTTGGTGATTTGGACGAGCTGCGTGGCCAGCAGCGGCGCAAATGAGCATTTCGCGGTGAACTCGTTCATAACTCCACTTTCTGAGCTGTTACCTGTTCATGAGTGAAAACCAACGGCCAAAAAAGGGTCCCGTTTTGCGTTTTCTTGACGGATTTTTCTGCTTTTTTCGCCACTGGCGTACCATTGAGCACCACCACGTCCCTCTAACCCTTCTTGAATTTATCGTAATCGCTGCCTTTAACAACTTTCAACCTTCTAGACTAGTACGGTGCACAATAATAAACAAAGAGGGATGGAAGAAATGGTTGACCTAGGAGAGCTCTTATTGAGGAGGAGTGCCGGAGTGGATTTCGTGAGTGTCAGTAATAGTGTAAGGCTTCTGGGAGAACTCCATCCCAGCTCTTTAGCAATGCCATTTTGGGAAGACCTGATATGTGTCTTCAAGAGCCTTGGAAGCACGTGT